TTTTATGAGCATTTTGGACGCTTTTGGTAAGATAATAAAAAAAATAAACTTTACTCTTGCCGAGAAAAATTTGATTCTTTTTTTCCGGCTCTTTTTCCTTTCCCCCCCCCCCCCCCCCACCTCACACGTGCTTCAATATATTAGTGTAACGAGTGGTTTTACGAGGTTGAGTATGAAGACCAAATATGTTTGTCGTGGCCTTATTAGTCTGTATGTAAATTTTCATAACAATCGGACAATGTGGTCAACAAATTTAATTGTAAAAATTTGCAGGTGGGGGCAAAAGGAAAAAGAGCCTTTTTCCCTCCAAAACTTGAGAAAAATAATAATTCGCGTTATATTGACATGGAGAATAAAGGCCAAAAATTTTGTCAAAATTGTTTCAGAAACTATTTACTGAAGTTCCCAATTGAAAATTTTTGAGCGCTAATTATAATTGTCGTTACTAAATTAAAATCGGGATGGAGAGGTAGGAACTCGCTGCATGCCGACGACGTGCTTACAAAAAAAATCCATCTCTGATTCCCATTCTTGATGATAAAACAAAAATATATTTTTTTCTTGATTTGTTTAATATACTTGTTCGGCGGATTTATACTCAGCGGGCGGCAGCGGATTTACGGATGGGAGAGTGGACTCCCTCGCCACCCAAAGGGTACCCTTTTGGTACTATTGCACGATGTCCATTTTTAGCTCCAAAATTTTCAAAGGTGCAAAATATACTTATTTTAAGGAGGGAAAGCGCGCCGAAAAAAAAACGAAAGAACGCGGTTTTTTGGTCAAAACATTCCAAATAAGTGCCTTCCAACAACAAAGTATCTTTTGGCCGACACTTTTTAAATCTTCGTTTTAGGCCTGAAATTTCAATTATTGCCTGCGGCACAGAAAACTCCCTAAAAATAAGTTGTTTAGACTTGGAAAATCTATTTGGTCGACCTAAAAAAAATTCGGCAAAAAATTTGAAAAAAACCCGCCTCCCCCCTCCCCGCGAAAAAGTTAGATCCGCGCTTGGTTCTATATACGATGAATTTTCCAGGCGTATTTTGATAAATTTGTGTGTTGCTAAAAATTGAATGCGTGGTTGAATGTCAAATTCATGCCATCCAGGTCGTGTAGATACCAATGCTGCAGCCTTGACTTAACGCAAGATCTGAAATGTTCGTCGATTACAAAAACAAAATACATTTAAGATTGTGTTCATACTGATGTCATGTTTTCACGCATCTGGTGGCATCATTTTGGTTGGGAAAAGAAAACTTTGAGCAGATCAAAAGAAAAGTTTGAACTTGAGCTTGACCTGTTGAATTGAAAATCAAACATGGTCATCAGCAATGACCTTTGGAACTTCGTCGATGTTCAAGTTTCATATGTTTCATCTGTTTCGAATGTTAACTTCATAGGTTATGGTTTTCAGGACAAGGAAAATTCAAATCGAGCATAATTTGAGACATAATTAACTCTCGTCATTATGTTATGCATCAAACAAAGTGTGTCTGTCATCTGCATTTGCAGTTTTTTTGCCTGATGCTTTTAGGTTCTTGATTTAGAACAACTTTGAAGTGTAAACTTGCAAAATTTTTTCGCTTTTTGGTAAAATTAAAATGTAAATTGGATCGATTTGGCTGTTAGAACAGTAAAGTAGACTACTATTAGCATGGTCCGATGATGCTAAGACAAAATGATATGAATAATAGTTTACGAAAAAAAATTTCACAATACAATCAACGTTTTACCAATCTGAAGCATGCAATTTTTGATTGGTTTTTCTAAGCTATAAGGAATCACATTTTGAAAATCTTTTGCATTTTGTGATAAATTTATTCAAGATTTTGGTATTTATGAAAAACCTTGTTGCTTTCTTTTCATGCGAAGCTTCATAATTCAAATGAGGGCATGGAAATGGGAAGCCAGCTGAGGACAGTTTGTTAGAAAAATCTTGCATTATCAGCACGTCAAAAAGGATGACTATTGACAATTTAAAATGTAGTAAAAAAGACCATTTTCGGTTTGAAGGCGAGAAGGCGAGTCTGTAGGTAATTTGGCAGTTGCGGAAATAACTTGCGAACAAACCGTGTACATTATCGTTCTTTCCAAAGAGCGAATAAAAACTCGTTATGATTTTTTCAAAAATTCAAGCAAATATAGCTCAAAAGCTTCACTTTGTAGTAGTTAGAACATAAATGAAAGATGCCCGAGGGAAAAAGAGCCCGCCCTGAGGGCACGAAGTACCCGAGTGCGGCTCCTTTGTCCGAGGCGATCTTCAACTATGTTCTAACTGTTAAAGAGTATGTTTTTGCTCTTTATGAGAGAAAGATGCCAGAAAATTGTGAAAAAGCGCGGAAAGTTGTGAAAAGTGCGCAAAACAAGGCAAATGATTTCTTTTTTCATTCATGCGTTCTAATATTTCATTTTTCATTCATGCCTTGTCGTGAAAGAACATGTGTGAAAGAGCAAAAACATACTCTTCGCAAAGTAGAAGTCAAAACAATATGCATGATTTCCTAAAAATACATTTAAGATTCTTGTTCATTTGAATTGAAAACTTGAAAGCAACGAGAACTATTGTTCTGACCATTTGACAAATGCGGACGAATTTTGTTTTCAGGTGTATTTTAGCTTATCTTTTTTATGTTTACCAATCAAAATCTGGTACCACAAACAATCATCAGTAAAGGTCAAGTGAAATATCATAATAAAACCCTTTTAGTTCTGATTCAAACGAGATTAAAAATTTAGAAAAATTTATATAGTGTCGAGAAAAACCGGTCTGAATTTTGTAATTTTTGGTCTACTATTCGTCTAATAGGGTGAGCACACATGCTTACACTAGCTTATACAAGCTTAAATTACACATCGAAAACTTGGTTTTTCTTATTTAAAGTTAGCTTTTGGAGTTTTTAGCGATATTTTCGGAACCAAGAACAACTGCAAAAGATTTGAAAAAGTTTTAAAATTTTCCGTTTTTTTGTTTTGTAGACTGTTTTTCTATGCTGTTTCCCAATAGGACGATTTTAGTATGGCTGTTGAATATGCTTAAGGTCTATTTTTTTTGTTCAGAGTTTTTATCACACGCTGCAGCAAAAACGACAATAATTTGAAAAAAAAAAACTTTTTTTTTTTTTAAGACTATGATCGAAAACTTCTGTGCTACAAGCACAGTGAACGGCTGTCCTTGCTGAATTATTCTTTAATTTCTTTTTTTGAATTGAAATTACTCAATTTTGACTTTTTACTTTTAGCAGCGTTTATTTTAAATTGAGAGTTTAACTTCCGAATTTTTTTCCCGATCAATGCTTCAGATGTTTGTGTTTCGCCCAGACGCTCTTTTATTTCATACTACTTCAGCAATATCTATTTCGGCAGTGATTTTTTTTATTCGATTGTCGATAATTCGGAATTTCTATGATTGGGCTGGTTTTAGTTATTCAGTCAATTTTTGCCGATCGAGTTGATAATTTTTAACGATAAGTTTCTATATATCATTCAGAGAAATTAGTTAAAATAATGATATTTTATTCACATATTAACCCGCACAACAAAACCATTCCAAATTGAATCAAGGTTTTGTCGGATTGATTTCGTCCGACTAATATTTTAACACTTGACCTTCGATTTTCCTAACTTTATAGTTTTTCAAAAAGAAAAATTTTTTCTCTGATTTAAGAGAAAACGAATTATCTAGGCTTGGTGTGACTTTTTTTGTCATTTAGTCAATTTTTGGCGATTGAAATAATAATTTTCAGCAAAAAATTTTCATGCCCCATTGAAGATATTGACTTCCCGAAATAAAAATTAAAAGGATGTTTCACCACCAATCTTCTAAGCAAAATTTTGGGATTTTGGAATTTGTCAGTTTGGCAATGCTCTGAACTGTTTTATGCGCGCTTTGAAAAATTTATCTAAAATCCTGAAAGCGTAACAAGAATTATTTATGCGTGGCGAATTATCCCGCCTAACAAAATTGTTCCAAATTGAATTGAGGGTAGCTTATTGATCGTATTATTTTGGTGCGATCTATGTTTTCAAAATTGATCTTTGATGTTGTCCAAAAGTTTTGTTTCTCAAAAATGTTTTCCCCAAAACCATTCAAGATGGATTGAGGGGCTGTCGGAACATTCAGGGCTTTTCCCTGAAAACGAGCAAGTTTGTTTTGTTCTATTATACTCTAATATGGTGCCATCAGAAATAACTTTCTTTGAAGCCTTTTTACTTTGTAAAAACCTTGGACTTTTCTAACAATCGTCTTCCTATGATATCTACTGCAAAATTGCCAGCCCTGTAAATACAAGCAGTACATTAGAACTAGAGCGTTCTATGTGAAATTCGAATTTTGCTGCATTCGGATTGGTCGAAAATTTTTCGAATTTTGCTGCATTCGGATTGGTCGAAAATTTGACTAACTCAACCTTCTAAACAATTGTTAGTAGATCCGATAGGTGGAATCCCTCATAATCGAAGGATCGAAGGGGCGAAAATAAAAATCAGCCAATCAGATTTCGGTATTCCAAAACTTTGAAAGAATCTCAAAAACTCAAAAAATAAAACATTTCCATTTACTTAATAGTAATACTGTCCGAATGTAAAAAAGGCAGAAATAAGCAAAGTTAGCAAATTGTCACTGAATGCGGCGCAAAATGGAACAAATTTCTAATTTCGATGCTTAATTTGAAAGGAGCAAAATATTCCTTCATTTAATTAGAATTAAGTGAATGGCGTTTGATTCATTTTAATTATTGACTTTCGACTGCTTTTGTTTTCGGTCATTCGCCTATGAGTTCTTCTTGCATTATTTTTTTTGCCCATAAGAATAGCCGTGATCCGATAAATTTAAACAATCAAAATGCATCACCAGATGAAAATAAAACGAGTTCCATCATTTTAGTGACGCTATTCTCCTAGTTGGATAGGTTTGTTATTTGATGATCTGAACTGAATGCTGAAAAGTAAAGTTCAATATTCAGTTAAAATACATAAGCTATGACTTCTTGATCTTGAATTAATTGTTTGTCTCCTCATAAATCGACTCCTATATTTCATAATTATCGCATGCAATTTAAAAATCTAAAGCAACTAAGAAAGCTGAACAGCTGTTTACTGAAAAATGCTGATGATCTTAGTTTTAGCAATGATTTCTCTAGCAGGTAAGTTCGTGTTTTTCATTGTACACAAAGTATGCCTCAGCTATAATTGGTCAAAAGTTTCCAAATTATGACCAAAATCTGGTGGAAAATCTCTTATATTTTTGATTTTTTTTTTCTCTTTTTCCTCTTTTTCATCTCTTGCCGCCATATAGAAACATCAATTTTTTATGTAAAAAAGTCTTAACAAGTCTAATTATGGCGAAGGCCAAATGTCTCACGAACTGGGCAGTCGTTCATCTATCGGTCAACCTATACAAAAGTGCCAGAACTCTAGGAGGAAAGAAAGCAATGCGTTTTTCTGAGGTGTAGTTTTGTGTTACTGAGCCTCTACGGCAACTTAATTTCAGTTAATGTATTTTTCTGTAGGTTGTGACCTGGTCAGGGGTTCTTCTGAGGTGGTGGGGACCACTTCAAATTCTCATCCTCCGCAGACCCCCTGGGAGTCGCTTGTGTTTATTCTGCCACTTCATCTCTCCCGGTTGGGGTCAATGTGTGCCACTCACAGGTGAGAATTTGGAACCTGATGATTTCCTTTTTTAACTGAAAAACATTTCGTTTACAGAAAGGGAAAACTAAATGATTAACCAAAATGAAAGACTAGTCTTACAATTTCCTTCATTATCCATCTGTAAAATTTCGCAGGCGATAAAGATTTACCTTCAAATATTATCAGGAGTATAGCAACTAAACGGCGTTTAGTAAAAACAACATAAATTATTAGAAAATGTCCTAAATCTCAAATGAACCAACAAAACTTTTAAGATGAATAATATATACACGGCAATAATTCTACACTTTACGATTTTAGCATGTATTTTTGCCTGGACAAACTCTGGACTGAGCCACTGCATGTCGTGGATGTAGACACTGCACAAGCTCAACATCCCGAGGACTCGTGGTTCAACCAAGTGTTCAACGTCGAGTACGAGGAGTCCTCGAGAGAAGGTGACCTGGCTAGTGAGTTCCAGAGATTAGTTTCATCGGGAGGCGCCTTCAGAGACTACAACATCATATCGAAGCGCATGTACCGTGAGCGTGAGTACTTAAGCCTATAAATAAACAGTAAGTAGGACTAGTTTAATATCAGAACTGGGGCGGATTAAGTTTTTTTTGACGAAGAGAGAGACAGAGAGAGAGAGAGAGAGGAGGTGTGTGGTAGGGAAGGATCTTTAGAGGAATTTTCGATGATGGTGTTAAAAAGTTTTAATAACCTAGATTGCTGGACAACAATTCTAAGACGGGTAGTAAGGGTTAATAAACTTAGATTAGTTTAAAAGACTAAAAGACTAATTCGTTAAAAGGTTAAAATAGTAAACTAAACTTAGACTAGTTTAAAAGTAATTTGGCATAAATGAGTCCACTGTCCAAGTGGTTATGCTCTGACGATTATGTTGTACGATTATGTTGGCCAGATTGTTTTTATAACCATTGCATGGTTTAACTTCCTCTGCACCTTAGAAGACAATCTTTTTATTGCAGAGGAGTGTTGTGACAGTCAGAACAAGGACTACGTGCAGTATGGGTTCCGGAACAGACTGATGTCACCTAGTGAGTACCTCCGAAGACTCACTGACTTCTCAGAAACTGCAGACTCCTCAACAGAGAGACACCTCAACTACATCGAGGTAGGTGCTGCTTAAAGAACTTCTTGTCGCTAAATCACTTTTCAGCCGTGCAAATTTCCAATTTCTGTTGAACTACAGAAAAATATTGTCTGTATTGTAATCGAGATCCTGTTATCCAGATTTCCAAATTATTATACCGCAAGTTTAAATAATGGTTAAAATTAGGGATCATTACCTACGAATCACAAAAACTTTAAAAAAGACCCCTGAATGTGATTTTGTCAACTATTAGCCCGTTTTTGCAGAAGGGGGCCAATTCGCTTAAAAAACAAATTTCGTGAATGCTTACCTGTTCAATTCTTTGTTTATAAGAAGCCATTTCGCTACAAGGCACCATAAGAGAGGAAATAGGTGACTAGATTACCTGAATTTCTTTCGAGGATGCAAATCAGGGTTTTTCATATGTTTTCACACGGTAAGCATATTGTTTTTAGGCCAGGTATAATCCCCATTTGTGCTTGAACATCATTCTTTCTGTCGGCTTTGGACCCGATCGCCTAAGGAGAGAACACTTTCCTGGCGACATGCAGAACGCTCCTTACGCCTTACGCCTTCAACCTTTCGCCGAAATGATATTGTTCTCCTTCGAGAAGCCTGGCGATGAACTCACTTTTCAATGGTTTAAACATAATGTGGTTTGCTCAGAGAAAGCGTGGATTTGTGACGACGGTTCTCAAAGCCGAGAGCTCAGAGGAAGACTCGCTAGAAATGAACAACCTTTTGGCAACTACCACAGAACTTGATTATTCTGACAGTATGTTACGCAAACATTTGAGCAATGCAATTTTCAACTGCTTTTTAAAAATTAAATTCGTACTTAACTTTTTATATGTTTCAAAAATTGTCCCTGAAAAGAGGTTAAAGATAACAGAAATTTTTTTCGTTTTGCTGAGGTTTGAGCAATATGCGACGAATTCAAGCTGATTTTATATTTGATGGGTCTGTAGTGTCGTTTTTTGAATTTTTTCTTGTTGATTAGCACTCGAACAACGTCAATTTAGAATAAGCCATTCTAAACTGTTCAACAGTTTGTAAAGATGTTGGTCCGAGAATTTTTAAAAAAATTTCCGAAGCAAACGCAAATTGTTGAAAGTTTAAAAAAAAATCTCAAACTTTAGATTCCTAGCAAGTTTGATGAGCTTATTGAGAGCGTTACTAACCTTATGAATGTGCCAATTAGCCTGCTCCAATTCTATTGACCTAAACCAATAGATTGTAAGCAGTAACCTTGGTGAAATCGTCATTAATAACAACCGATTTTTAACACCCCCATTTAAGCTCAGGCGTGTTTTTTCATTTCGCTTTGATCATTAGTAACGGCTTTCTTACAAGCTTTTCTCATCAATCTTAAAATAGGTTTTTTTATTGATTCCCGCAGAAGAAAACCTTGAAGTTCAATCACACCGATTTGTGGCCGATGTCGAACAACTTTAGCTTTGTTATATGTTTGTTTGCAAGCTAAATCTTTATACAAAAAGTGTTGAAGATCAACCATAATAGGGGCTTCTTTTTCAACCTCTGTATTTTTCAGTTTTCTTCTAAGAGTTTGACGCACGACTTTGTTTTCTTGCTACCAACTTAAGACCTGGATCCCAAGTTTTATAACCCGGCAATTTTTGCTGCTGGATACTCGACTAAGATTCCCGGATGCACGAATTGTTCTTTTTGAGACTCCATTTGAGAATTTTCCACAAGAAAAAGATAATTTTTTTTTGCCGAAGTTTTCTGTTAATTTTTATCTAAAAACTATGATTGCATTATGTGGCAAATTTCACAAATGAAAGAATACATTGGCTGAAAAACCGTTAAAACTGTCGTATATCAAAATTTGGTAGCCTCAGGATATCAGCTTTGGATCAAATCTTTCAATTAATTTTAAAGAGCCTAAACGTTCATACCAGTTTTTCTCCATACTGAGACGATTTTTCAGAGTTTTTTCAAAATCACGATCAATGGGACTCTAATATGGTACAAAACTTGACCCTCTACTACCTTCAAATCAAAAATGAAAGCAATCCAGCATTTCAACCATCAACGTAAAAAATACAGAATTTTGTAGGAACAATTTTTTTGAGCAAAAACATATAAAAAATGCAAAATTATAAACGACCCTTTTATAATACCTTATCAGCTATTGATCCAAACCAAAAAATTCCTCTCTAGTTATCAGTTTTGCTTTTCTTATCCCCAATTCAGAAAACCAAATTAGCCTAGCATAGCGTTTTTGATGATTGCGTCATCCAGTTTCAAGCATCCAGTTTCAAGCGTTAATAATCGATTATATTATGATTTTAAAACCAGTCCTAAATTGAGGAAAATTGAGGAAAATTGAGGAAAAATTGAATTTAATCAATTAAAAATCGACAATAATCTCTCTTTTTGAAATCAATATAATCAATTATAATACATTAAAATCGATTATAACCGATAATTTTTATCCGAATTTCTAATTTATTTGTTTTGCCGAAAAAAAAATTATGATCGATTATGGTTGCTTATAACCCCTAATTTTTGCCCATTTTGTCTTTTACCTTCCACCTGAATTGCTTATATTTTATATTCGTAGACGTTGGTTTAGGTGAAAAATGGGAAAATTGTTTCAACAGTTTTCAAATCAATTCAAATTTATAACGTTTTTTTTCTTCATTTTTTCTTGATTATAGTTGTTTCATAAACGGGAGCCGAGACTTTTAAAAGAGGAATTTAGATGTACAAAAATGCTCTGTTTGTGTAGCAAAACTTTTTGCTGCTATGACAACAAGTCAGATAAATTCAAATTCAGTTGTGAAGGTTTGAACAAACGAGTTATAGACGACTTTGGAGACGGAACCAAGTCAAAATACCGGAAAGTGCTCGATGAAGCAATCAAGCTAACATCTACGGGCAGAGGATTCAGAACCGTAAACCAAATGTTGGCCAGGTATGAGCAAGCAAAAAACGACTTAGTTTTTTTTTCCCAAAAAGACAAGTTCAAGAAGATGGAATTCTTACAAAACCATTGAAATTATAAGAACCAATGCAAGGTAAAAAATTTATAACAAGTGATGCATTCAATTAAACTTTTGTACTTTACAGTATTTTGTGGGTGTTTTATTATAAATTTGCGGTAATATTCAAATACGATGCAGTAATTTAAATATTTTCTTTGTAATTCAAGTTTTTCTTTTCGAAGTTTTGGTAGGTTTCAGCATAGTTTCAGGTAGATAGGGAACTGTTATAAAAAGTAAAAATCTCTAATAAAATAAGTAATAGGTCGACTTATACCAAATCTTATCGTGTTTTGAAGTTTTTTTTTGAAAATTTTTCATTTTTTTGATAGAAAAAATAAGTTTTAGCCCAAAAACTTTCACCATTGACTTACCATGTACCATCAAACCAGACCATCATTCTAAAATCTACACGTAATTAACCAGTGATATTTAACAATTAGATAATACACGCCGAAAAACTAGACATTTCCACACAAAATCCAAAAAAGTACATTTTAGACTCTATACCCAATGTTAATACATAGCATGGAGGACCGGAAATCTATAACGTATCCTATTACATGGGGTCCTCCATGCGACATCCCTCCCCCCACTTTAGCCTCAACGTCTTTTACTTCTGTTATATGCAATTTTCACAGAATATGCACTGCCAAAGAAAAACGCTTTGAATGATGTCAATGATATCAATTACGGTCGCAACTATTTTCTTTGTACTAGTGCTCATCGACTGTAACCCGAAAATTAAAATTTTCAGGTGCCGAGCACGTTCGACAAAAAGTGAAAACTACGTGGGTTTCTATTTTTTGCAATGGTTTAACAGGATGATTCTCAAGCGCATACTCAACATGACTCTAGTGGCTTTTATGTGATGTTTGCTTGAAAATTCATTGCTTACATAACAAAAACAGTGAAACCATGGTTGAGTCTCACAAAGTCACTCATAAAACTAACTTTCTCACGTCGCTATTAAAATTACTATTGTTTTTGTCCAATAGGAAAATTACTGTAACATGATAATTACCTTTCTGACACCACAGAAGTCATGACAGAAGCAGTTGATCGAATCAATGTTTTTTGTTTCTCGTGTTTCAGTTTTGATTAAAAAAACTCTAAAACAAAAAAAAATTCCGTATAATTTTTTTCTTATTTTGAAAAAATTCGCAAAATTAAGCAAGTTAATTGAACTTTCCAATATTTCATCTCAAAATTTTCAGTTTTTTTCAGAAAATTTTTTATCAGTTAACTGAAAACAAAAAGTGGAATCACTTGTTTTTCCGATACTTGAACTGAAACAGAAAAAGAAACTGAAGTTGAATAAATTCAAACTGTCACACCCCTAAATTCCATTTATGGGTGTGGTTCATTATTTGAACGAACCAAATTACTTCAGGGCCCTATTTGGTATTTACGACCACGAACTATATTTCCCGTGAGACAACAAGAAGATGTGAACGAGGGGACTAGAAAACATCATTACGAAAGAAACAGAAAGTAAACATTTGAACTCAAATAATAAACTCCGAAAAAAGCTTGGTGATGAAAAACAGACTGGCCAACCTTTGCTGATCACTGTGTTAAAAAAGTTTGATGAGTGTAAATAATAACATATACTCTTGGTTTATAAACTTTGTAAAATCACTCGAGAGGTATTCGCTAGAGTGACCAGCTTGACTCAAAATTTAACGCTCTGCCTAAACTTCTTTCTCTGTCCTTTGAGCTTTCAAGAGGAATACCGCCCTGCGAACTGAACGACATCCGATATATCTCTCGGGCATAGAACTTTCCTCGTCATTTGGAAAGTGACTAAATAACAAGTTCGGTAATAGTAAGAGCAACCATCAGAGACCTCTTAGTAAATATTGAGATACAAAACGGTGATAGGAAGGACAGGCAACTCAGAAACCAGAAGACAGGGGAAAAATCAAGAAGCAGACGGCCACGAATTTCAAAAGCTGACAAACTACGAACTGACTGACTTATCTAGTTGAAGAAATCTTCCATCTCCCGAGCTCAAAACACTTGAAGAAAGTCAATTCACTCTCTTCACGCTCACAACAATTGGTCTAGGTTACTTAAAATGCTTTAACAAATCCATACTGTAGAGTAAATTGATAAAAATTTTAAAGCAACACCCGAAAAACAAAACACATATAAAGATATTGATAGGATCAAAAAGAAAAAAAAATGGTAGAAAGAGAAAGCATAAAGTAGGCTAACAATGTCAACAGCAACAACAACAACGGGAACAACAATAACACAACTATGGCAACTTCGTTAGCATCATTAGGCACATCGACAGCACACAGCTCAACAGCAGCAGCTCCTGTCGCTGCTCTGCCCACAGTACCAATTCCCTATTCAACACTCTCGCTATCAAAGTTTGGAGGTTCATCACTAGAAAAATAGGTAGGTTTTGAATGTCTATTTAGAAGCATTATAGACGTCACAGGAGTAGCTAGACCACAACAAGTTGGTTATCTCAAGTTACAATTGAAGGTTTCAGCGCTACAGTTTTTCCACACTCTTGATGCAACAACCAAAGCCGATGTAGATTTGACTTTACAGGCTTTTAAAAACCATTTTTGTAATCCTAAGTTGAGAGAACTACACCAACTCAAGTAAGAAAATTTTAAATTTAAGCATAAAGAGGAACAACCAGAATAGTTTTTAGTCAAACTCCAAAACTTAGCCTTACATGCATTTCCAGACCCAATATCGCTACCAGTTATTCCGGCCGCAAGTACCGACGCTGCTGAAATTGCTCGTGAAGCAGCAGAACATCAGGCAAAGAGAGATAGGCAAAGATTTGCTGAGTAACA